CTTTGATCTCTCCCAATTTGAAGTGATTCTGCTCTCAGGTTGAGGATTATAGACTGCAATATATACATTGACTATCATTACAAGTAAGATAATTGAAACATTTTATGCATGAAATAATTCTATTAACATCATTCCTTTCAGATTGTCTGGAGTCAAAAAGACAAAAACAATATACTCTTAAATTTTATTGTTATAGTTGACACACCTCACAACTTAGCTGCTGTGTAAATGATAAGAACTGTTTCTAAAGGATAAAAGTTAAATAAGCCTACCTCACAACTAATCTGACTTATTAACCTAACATAGCTAACATTTTTCATAAAAGTAGCCGAGCTATACAAGGCGGGTATTTTTTTCATGTAAGACTTTACCAATCTGTGGCATGCATATTTTCCATATTATAGTTGATATTCCTAATAAAAGTAGCCCATCTGTAGCTTAAAATTATTTTCTTCATAAAAATTTCTCAACATCTGGCATTTTTCAGATAAGCATCATTCAGGATAACGGTTTTCTATTGTGCCATTTGCTGGCACAGCTAGGGAAGATATTGATCAGAAATGGAGTGAAATTTGTGGTAACAAGGTTAAGGCCTCTTGTTCCTCCCTCCTCTCCAAAATAAATACAATCACATTGTCCAGAGGAAGAAGGGAATGTAAGCGCTGTTGAACCACTAGGAAATAGCGCTATATAAATGTATTATTATTATCAGTAGTATGTGTAAGGTTTAAAAAAACATGCATGTAAAAGTTATAGGTGACCTGCTTTTAGAAAAAGGGAGTATTTACTGAAAGGCTTACTCAAACAGCAGCATAAGGATCATATGTTTCCATAAATTATGCAAGGACATTACTAGAACCAAAACAGCTTAACTTTTCTGTTGTTTTACACATGGTATGTAAAAATGCTGTAAGCAATGATTTTTTAAAAAGTTTTTAAGTTTTATTTTTTGAAATATTTGTTTATAAGATTGTATTTTATCTGTGTCCCCAATAAGTGCCATGGGCGCTAGAACGTCTAGACACTTTTAATAAAGGATATGTATGTGTATGTATAACTATGTACGTATGTTGGTTGGCACAAAGTCCCAAACCTTGTTACTTTCAGATTTACAATCCTCTTCCTATTGATTCCTCTGCAACCTTTTAAGGGTCACTTCTTTTAGTTAGCAAGGTGGGCTGATCCCAGGGATGGCTTCAAATAAATATAGAGACCTTGTATAAATGGGTAATCTTCTTGAAAAGAATTTAGGTCCAACCTAACAAGGTAATATAAATTATTGCCTGTCATAGGGGTCATTTTGGTTCAGCTTGTAGAATCTTATATTTGCATTCTTTCTCATAAAAAGTTGGTTGTTACTTTTAGAATGTTGCTTCTTTTGGGGAACTGTGACTTTGGGAACTTCACCATACCTTGAATGAGTATGCTGTTTTACTTTCTTTTAAACAAATATATATTAACATATTTTTATGCTTTACCTTACTACAATACAACACTGACGAACTTTGACCCATTTACTATATTTGCCTTTCAACATGTTGTTTAATTTCTTAATCAGTACTAGAGCAAAATACAGCACTCTGTTTGCTTTTTGACAGCACTTGGAGCCTGCTGGACAGCTTGTGACACTTGCTGGACTTCCTTTCCAACAGCAGTTACCTCCTTTATTATGTCAGGATCATTGAGTCCTGAATTGAAACAGAAGGCCTATAAGCATTCTCCCCATGTGAAATCAGTTCCTCAGTGTCCACGTACTAACTGCGACACCCCAGTTCATAAAATATTGCACCTTCTTAAATTTTTTTATATCTTCTGGAATTGAATTATAATTGTATGACTTGACTGTATGTATGATTGACGATTAATTTGCTGTTTTGGAATGTTCATGAGACTCTATAAGGGAGTAAACTAAGGAGTGTCTTGTTAGACAAAATGTCCCTTAATTTCTACCATTAATTTAACTAGTCTACTTGGGCACATAGTAGGAGTGGTGGCTGGTACCTAGATGGAATCATGGTCTACAGACTTTGTATGCAATGCCTCGAAAAAATTGTGCATGTGTTGAATACAACTACCATGAATGGCCCATTAAACAGTTATCTTTATTCCTTCTTACATGTTTCTTGTGCCATCTTACTTATGACAATCCAAGTCTAGTGAGAAGACATTGAAATGATAAACAATCAGCAATCAACAATATTATTTTTACCTGCTTCTCTTCTCTCCCTTTCTATCTCTTTGTCTTCTTCAGCATACCTGAAAAATTACAAGATCATTTTAAGGTAAAGATCAAAAAGTATGATTGTGTAATAACTGATCCCTAACATGTTATTTTTCACTGGCTGAGTGAAACGAAATAAGTGGAAAATATTTTTCTCCCACACCACTGGGGCCTGGGATGGGTCATGTGACCTTTGGCAGACAGTTGGTTTTGTTACATTTGCCATTATTGATCTTTTGCCACCCACCCACCCAAAGAATTCTAGTTGGTACTGTATATTTTGTTTGTCGTATCTACAAAACTTGCCTATGGTGTAATACCCTCTTAATTTCACGCATGAAGTACACATATACTTTAGTTGAGTTTGCAGTAAAAGTTGTGTCCTGGTGTACCAGTTCACTAAGGGAATAACCATTCAACTCATTGTACTGTCTTTCTTTGTGAGCCTTTTTTTAGCTGTTGTATGTTTGTTAGGTCTTTTGTATTAGTTCTCGTGTACAGGTACAAGAGCACAGAACTGCAATAAAGGTCAAGATGTGGTGGTCAGCCTGGCATGGCTACCAGTGGTGTGTGAGAAATAAAATTAGACCAAGAACACAAAACAGGTGAGTGTTTAAACAGCTAACTGTTGATATGCATTATTTATTTAATACTATTCTGGTGCCACTTTACCTTTTTTTGGCATCCTCCACATCAGATATTAGTTGCTCTCTTTTCTCGACAACCTCAAGCATTTCTTGTAACAATTCCTTTTCTTTAGACTTGTCATACTCAGTCTTTATCTTTTCTAAATTAATTTACAAAGTATTAGTTAACAATTGAAATTAACATTTATTGTTTGAAAACCTGTTACATGTATTTCCAATCCCAGGTATAAAAGGAGCCTCACAGTTCATGAATGTCAGACTTCAATTCTGGTTTTCATAGTATGCAAAGTGACCAGTTATTCACCAGGCTGTTGTTGTACACATTCATTGTTTCATCCTACCCTGCAATCATGCTCTCTTTCACTATATCGAGAGACACATTGAGATAGTGAAGTCTACACAGGTTACACCTACATCTACTATAATACTCTTCATCACCCAGTACCACAAATATTGACAAGAACATAGGTTGAAAGTCAGAAAATGCTGTCCTATATATTTGCTGATGTAATTGGCCTGCATGTACATGCTGTCCACTTTGAAAATTATTGGATGAAAAAAGATCCCAGGACTGCCAAAATTGGACATGGCTATGGGTAGAGTCCAGTTTGGCAGGGCTTGGAGTTCTATCTTACCTATTTCCAAATTGAACTAGCATGTCGTCTTATTACCTATTAATTGTCCAAATATTACTTACCATCCTTCTCTGCTAGTTGTCGCAGCTTTTTCTCCAACTCAGAATATTTTTCTTCCAGTTCCAACTCTCTGACCCTAGCATTAGTGCAGTTACAAATTATAGGAAACCATTATAAATAATATTTATAAAATTAAAGAAAAACAAAAATGATAAGAGACATTTTTTGATAAGAGTATCATCATGAGAAAGTTAAATGCCACATGTAATAAATCCCAATGTTAAAAGAGTTTAAATTCAGAACAATTCAGTTTAAATTCAGAACAATCCCTGTTCTGTTTGCACACCTAAAAAAGCCTGAAACTATGCATGGTAAGGATAAACAATGTTGTCAAGAAAATCTCCTTTAGTGAGCTTAAGCTGAAATAAAATTTACTCACTTAAATGAAAGTTCAGTTTCTCTTCGTACAGTGCTATTCTTATCCTGTACAGCACTAAACCACTCCACCCATAATGTCTGCTTTTCTGCATCAGGGCCTTGGCAACAAAATCAGAGAATTTTAATTATTGACTTGATAGGTAATACTCTATTCGTTCTTGTCTATAATAACCCTGAGAGGTGTAAAACCAAAAGTGAACTATACACAGGTATATACCCTTTCCCTTGTAGGTCTCCCCAGGCTCTCATGTTTGAGATCTAATAAGGAATACAGCTTTCATTCCAGTTCATCAGAAATACGTGGGTAAAAAAATCATTTCTATGTTACAAATAACGTCAATGAAACTACTATGCACCTTTAAACTTGTCAAGCTGTGATTTGAGCTTCTTCTCTTTCTTCACCAGTTTCTTTCCTCGTTTGCTGAGCAGTGATATTTTTTCTTTCATAATCCTGATAGAATTCTGCACCTTACTGGCACCTTTAGTTTCTCTTGTACCATCCACAGCATCTAACATAGAATTACCAATGATCAAGGATGAGTCATGCGTTCCACGAGGTCCATGCAAAAAGAAGATGAATATTAAGTAAATGTGACTTGCTCTACTCACTCACATCAACACATGGCAACATTCTATGCGTTTCACTTTAAATTTAACACAGAATTGTATATACAGTGTAATATCAAACCTGGTGTAAATTTGAACTGTTGTTGTACCCCTGGTCCAATCCCCATAGCATGCCGAATATCCTCTCCCAAACCAAAGCTGGCGTTCTCTATGTCCTGATAGTGCTGGGTGCAGTAGAACTTGTCATGATCAGGAACATAGCAATAGTTGAAGTGGTTCAACCAAGAATTGCATATAGCACAAACAAAACAGGTTTTGTGAAAAATATGATTTTCCACTGCCATACGCTCAAGAATTTCCACTGGCTTGCCACATTTCTGCTGGTCACATCGATTCGTCCAGATTACAGAGGTGTTGGGAGTGTGCTCATTTTGAGAGCTGACCTACAAAACAGTTAAAAACAAATAATAAATTGTTATTAAAAATAATGATACAAATTAGAAATAAATAGTAACAATTATGATGTTAGTAACCATTT